AATACCCGCCACTTTCCCCTGCACCCCAAAAGCTTTCGGTGTTTCTGACACTCCTTCTGGAAAGGTCGGTCGTTCCCAACCCAAGTGATGTTTTACCGCTGCATACACATGCGTGTTTTGTGATTTTGGGGAGGTAACTGCTGTTGGTGAGTTGGAAATTTACGTGCGCACGCGCACACACACGCACACACATCCTAAATTATTAAGCACTTTGTTCCAATTGCCACCGATAAATGGTAAATACGGGCAAGTGTCGTGCGCACTTGCATCCCTCGCTGGTAATCACTTGTGACAGCAAGCATCGATACGTTTTAGGCTGCCTAGCCCATTAGCATCTTGCTAAAAATCAGTCTTATCGTCACTTGTCGTCGTTCATACTCAGCAATCGGTGGTTGACAGACGAGAACGTTAGTCGGAGGTCGACATCTTAGTGTCATTGCACCAGATCGCCCAAACCCACCTTGCGTTTGAGGAAGCTCCGTGTACCAGTGGTCAATGTATGTGTAAAACTTGCCTGCATACCGTGTCGCCTCTTAAGGCCCGTAATGTGAACTACCCATATTGATGTACATTTTTACCCATTGAGTTCTACTCTTTGTTGCAATCTTTAGTGTTTCTCCCCAAGCACATTTACCTACCAATCCCGTGTGCTTTTTCTTTCTGAAATTTCGCTGACAATTGCTTATCGGTTTGACAGTCCTCGGTGTAGGTAGTGCACAACGCCTGTCCCAAGTGTTGCCTGATGAATTGCTTGGTGGTTTCCACAATGAGGCCGTGTGACTTCACGTTCGTGTAAGCGTGATCACAGCCCACGTATATCCACAGAATCCAGATTCCCCCCATGGTTGTGTTTTGTGCATGTTAATGAGCACCCATCTTAGCATTTGACTTTTTTTCACCCAAGGTTAGTAAAAGTATGCGTAACGTGGTCAGTTGATATATTTTGCGATCCACTTTACCTGAATTACCCATTTGTCGTAATGCTGTTAACATTTCCACTCTTTTTGTGTGCGTGAGGGCATACGCCGAAGGGCCTAATAACGCACAAACATTTGCCCATCTGTGATGACATTTGGCGCATTGATGTCACAATCATCGTGTGTGCACTTTAAATGGAGGCGATATTGGGAAAGGTATTTTACTAAGGCGACCATGTTAACGTGCTTGCTTATCCGTTTTTCAGAGACCCGAGAGAAAGTAAAAGAAGAATTTCGTAAAAACAAGCATATAACGGATCCGGAGAAGCTGAAAGAGGTACGCTGTTTTCTAATCCCACAACAGGCTCCTTCAGTGATCTCTTTTAGTGTTAATAAATGCTTAAACAACTGTTAATGTTACTTTAATCTCAGAGATAGTTCAGGTTTTGTCTGTTCCTTATAGTTGTTATGACGACGGCTTGAAGGGGGGTAATCATGGATCAATGCTGTGATCGAGACGACGGCGCTAGCGCATGTTTTGACCTTCCTAATGCCTCCTCGGCTTTCGAGTATGCACTTTCCACAGCCAGATGTGTAAACCACCACTACTTCATTGGTTGCCTCTGAGGAAGCCACCTGCTCTTTGACTTATTAACTGTACAACTGGAACTATGCCAAATGTCGTATAAAAACGCAGCTCTTTTTCTATTCGTTGACACCCAGGGAATCCACCGTGCTATTTACACACGTAAAATGCCTGCTGCCGTATTTCCGTGCTCCAAGAATCTGCAATCTGTAGTTGCTATTTGAGCTTCTCCAGCTGACTCCGTAAACTTGTAGTGGTGTAAATTCATTACAAACGTGTCTCCTTTGATATCAAGCAAAATCGAGAACACTCCTTGGGTTTTGTGAGACAGCTGACAGTTGTGGACTCAGTTTCACCATATTATAGTGTATTATAGTCAGGTGCTTATTTTGAAAGCATGTCTGTGTAAACATCTCCGACTCTAGATGTGGTAAAAAGAGATACCTTGTACCAAAAGCTCAAGCTGTGATTTTGTGTACATTTGAGCATAGATAACTGGTATTGACTTTTTTGAGTAGCTGTGGAAATTTGGAGAGGAAGTTGATCTTCTGCTGCGAAAAACTGTTATTCAGTGTGAATACGATGAAGAAAAACAACGCTACAGTAAGTTGTCTAGTTGATCCCACTCCTTGCCCTAGTGTTTCCTGTAATCACCGATCTAGTCGATTAAGAAAAGTGTGAATATCGACGAGAGTAACTTCTTTTTGTAAGTAAAAATCGTCAGTATTGATGGTGTAAAGAATAAACACTCGAAAACGCATACGTCAAGTCCGCTTTGTACACTCTGACAGGATTAACGCTCGTTCGGTCAAAAACCAGTAGGGATCGGAAGTGTAACAACAGATAAATCAAGATTAACATGTAAATGTTACACCCTCCAGACCAGTAGGGGCTTTGATAAACAGTAAAGGGAGAAAAGATAAGAATTTAAGGGAACCAGGCAGGACAAGGTCCGAATTTGAAGCGGAAAATTTATTGAAAACTTGAACATTTTCTTCCACTTATTGATCTTGTACCAAATAATCATCTGAACTTCGATATTTGCCTGGTTTGTGAAAGTGGAGAACAGAGTTGCGGTAAAAGTAGCAGCAGCAATAGTCCAAGATCATTCTTGAGGCTTTTTCAGTGTACTTTTTCCTGTGTTACCTTCAACAATACGTCAGGTGGCCACAGGCGTTTACCAAACTGCGTTTACTAAATGCGCGTGCTCTGTTGCACCGAATCGTTAGTGTCAGAGTTCTCCTAATTTGACGTACCTTGGAGTGTCTATTCGATTCCTCTTCTTTTGAGGAATGCCGCAACATTCTCAGGCAACTTTGAGAATTATTTACGGCCCTCATCTCTCCTGTATGTTAAGAATTTCCTTTCATTGAACCGCAGTCTATACGATCGTCCTCTGCTGGTACTGCCTTGTGATTGTCTTCTTACGCCAGCTGAATCGTGTTGGGCGTGCTTGGCGACGTCGTTACAAGATCTCTGCTGGGCATCTTAACGTTTTTCCCCGGATCGACAATACTTGCGTTGATCGATGAGTCAGAAATACCACAAGGTTCTTCTGATTTTCTTCGACGCTGTTTCGTTAGCCGACTCTTCGCCTTGCTGGACCTGAATTCGACATCTTTGACGAGGACAGAATCTGAACCAGTTTTATTTGCTTCAAAACCCTCGACATTCGGATCTTGATGGTGGGAGGAATTCGGATCATCATCTGGTATAGTAATCCGTGAACAGCAAATGCACTTATCCATATGATCATTCGGAAGTGTGACAGCCATCGGAGGAACGTAGTATCCATAAGTGGCAAAAGTGCGCGGCGAGCAGCAGTCCTGAGCTCCATGGTTAGCCTTCAAACAGCTCCGGAATCACAGATAGCCTTTTCTTCAAGTTATATAAAAGGAAAGTTGTGTATCTGTCAATGTAGTGACGTTCTTCACAGAGGGGACAGCGAGACCAAACTGAACGATCACATTGGTGCCGATTACTAGTGCTTCCTGTGTGTGATTTTCCTTGACGTCTTGCTTGCTTGCACATCAGGTTGATATGTAATTCAACAAAATCGAAACAGTTGATGTCAGCATGTTCTTCCCCGAATTGTAATGAACCATCGACATGGTGTTGTTCTCCTTGTCTTTATCTTGTATCAGCTACCTTAGGTTATCTAAATTGCAGTGAAATTGGCAGTCTTTTCACGATCGCCTCGAGATTTCTGCATGAATTTAGTTTGAAGAATAATCTAATTGGGTTGGGATCGCTTTACAGACTTGCATCTGTTGACTCAACATGACTAAGCCTTGGATATTGTTGGCTTTTAGTGGTGGACCGTCAAGCGATTCGTCCAAGAAGGCTGCTGTAATCGTTAAACTTGGAATGAGTCTTTTTCGAAGGATTTCCTTTGATTGACTGATTTCTGCATCGAATGCCGTACAGTGTTCGGTTGCTTCTAGGGCTTTTCCTTCTCACATTTGGAACAAATAGGTTACCCGGCTTGCACCGTCTTTGATTACGCATTCCACCCTCTATTGTAACTGTCCGATAGAGCTTTCTCATTTCTGTCTTCGGTTAATCCGATGAAGGATGCACAGCCTGAGTTAGAAGACTTCCACAAGAGGTTTCATAGTTATATTTCCCGGTGTAGTGCGTCATTTTTTAATCTTTTTTCGACTCCTATCAGACGCGAATCGGCAACCTCCAAGTCTAAACTCTGTCGTTTACCAACTATTCATTGGTAACATAAAAGCATTAAATTCATCAGCATACATTATGGAAGCGGGGAACTTTGTAAGCAATAAACATTTACAAAAGCTTCGTTGTTAAGACAAATAGACACAACGAATCCGTAAGGGAAAGGAGACGATTCGGGACCTTAGGAAGCTGCACGTTAAACTCACTTTGCATAACTTAACGTACTTGTTTATTTCACCCGTCGGTTATTTTCTTTTACTGTATCAAATCGTGCTTTTTTAACTTTTAGGGGCCACCGTTCGGGACGAAGTGTTCTGTCCAGAAAATAACGAAAAAAATCAATAAAATTACAACTCCCTACCTCGACCCCGAACTCAGGAATCAAAGGAACTATACTTTTGTCTTTTTTTGTATTAGCTCCATACGATATAATATGTAAATTTAATTACAACGTCTCTGAAGGGCAGTTGTGCTCATTCCAGTATTGTTGTCGCGTCTATTTACAATCAAAATGGGAAACAAATACGCTCCACACGGTAGGCACCCCGCGCGGGATAACTCGAATTACTAAACACAACGCGCACACCCGTAGTTTCGCTTGGCCCTCTGTGAATGGCCAATTCCTGACCAATGAGCGTACGTCTAGCAATGCGGACAACATTAGACGCGAAATCGGGTGTGTTGACCGCATCATTACTTGCGGTTGCCACTCATTCTGTCACCTTTCCACAAACAGGCGTGCTCAACGGTCGTAGTGCGGAAGCAGCAGTGATTTTCTCCCGCTACTCCTCAATTTTGGATGTTAATTACTTGCAATGCCGGGTGAAAACAAGTACGCGGCTGGGGTGTCTGTCGTCCAGCCAAAAAGGACACTCTTAATTAGTCTTGCGGTCCTGCTCTGCATTTTTGCCCTTTTGGCGGTCACTTTCTTCGGTACCACTCTCTACTTTCGGCTGTCCAACAGCCGTGTCCAAGGCGACACTGTCGGTGAGTGAAGGATAAGCAGTCATGCATTTCGATGAATATCTCAGGCTGTCTCCGTTGTTTGATAGGTATCGTTCACAAACACAAAAACTGTAAGGAATGCATTTTGGCAATCTATTTCATAAAACATCATTGTCATGTCAGATATCCTGAGGGTTTCGTACACAAACCAAACTCATTAACTTGCAAATTCTACAAACCCTAGTGACCTCGACCATATTTACGCATTCGTTATCTGCACTGGCTGGGTTTCAAATAGTCAAAAGTTACGGGTTGGCAAAGTAATGTTGACGCCTCACGAGTAGTTATTTGTCCTGTCCTCGCAGGTCGTCCATTCTCTCTCACGCCACCGCAACCCCAGTTGTCAACTAAACCAAGTACCACGAAAATTCATAAGAATAAACAAGAAAAACACGTGTAAATTGTTCTGCTTCAGCAAACTGGAAAGAATTTGATTTGTGCCGATCTCAGATTTCTAACCCAAAGCCAGTAGGTTTCCTTCGGACGGTTGAAAGTCTGCACTCACCAATCCATCAATAGATTTTTTTAGATTTCCATCGTGACCCAAATGTTCTATGAGGACGTTTGAGTTGGGTGGTCGGAATGCTTAACAAGTCGGCCGTTTTACATATTCGCCTTGGGCAGAATTCTCCCTGTTGGTTTTACCAAAGTTCCCCTGAGGGTCGGTAGTCATCGCTGTGATAACTCCATCGAAACACTCAACGCGTTCCTCAAGTATTTCAGTTTGAGTTAATTCGGTCCGATTTCTCGATGTTTCTTTTCGTTTCAAGTCTAAATTTTAAATTCTGTTGAATCGTGTCAGCACATATAGAAGCCTTATCCATCGTGTTCTGGAAGTAGATTAAATATTTTAAAGAGGTTTGTAAAAATGTGATGTGATGGTTGAAACCAAAACAGTGATAATCTCCTCAATTGGTCTGGAGAATGTCCTTTGCTTTTGCCCTATTTCAATACCAATTAACCAAAATCAGCCGTTCTACTAGTCGCTGCTCCTTGGCATTGATAATCAAACATCCTCCGGTTGAAGACACCAACCGAGAATTACCACCTATAATTGGTTGCCCTTGAAGTAGTAACACTGAAACTGCAAGTACAGGGTTATTTTTTTTTCAAAAATAAACAGTTCATGGTTAAATGGCATTCTGTTGAATAAGTAAAAACACTGTTGAGGTCCTACGTCCCTGTCTACTGCTAATTCCTGCATTTTCGCCCTCTCTGTAAAGACTCGTACTTACTGGAAATCGAAGTCTAGGGCACCTCAAAGTTAGTAATTGTGGAGAAGCAGACCATGGATTGTTCACTGTTTAAATTAGATTTCTATGGACTGTGTCATAGTGGTTTTAGTAGGAGAAAGGTGTGTTAGGCCAGACTTACCAATCAACGATTCTTGACTTACTGTTACTGGTGGTGATCCTTCAACCATATCCTTTTCAACTCATGCTGGGTCGTCTTTGAATCACGAGGACAGCCGATTAAGTAATGGGGACACAACACGAAAGTACTACGCCTAGATAGATTGTCTGCGGTCGTAATGATTTTGATCTTTATGTTCAGCTTTGTACAGGCCTACCAAGCCTCTGACAAATGCATATGTGAACGCATTTTGTCTAAATTATTCAGTGACTTGTTAGTATGATAAATTATGATCCGAACTCTTTCGGACAAGCTAGGAATCAAGTGACTGACGATTGGTCCTACAAATTACGATCCAGGCAAACTACCCTGGTGATAGAGGTCATCTTTTTTCAGTCATTAATCCGTAGATCTACTGATAAAGAGGTAAAGGGTTCACTAACGGCTTTTACTACTTTTAATGAATGATTGTGACTAAAAGGTTAAAAGTGGAAGAGCACCACAATGGTTTAAACATGCTGCCTCGATTTCCGCAAATTAAGCCAAACACTTACCGCCTACGATCTTGGATAAAAGCTTTTTTTCGACATGGCAGAAATATCCGGCAGGTTTCGTGCGTTGTCTGTTTCTTCCTCTTGATAAAATGATGCTGAGTGCCCTTAATCGAGACACAAGGCAATGTTATGTATGAGGAATTTAATTACTTCTAAATTCAGTGTAAAACGCTCGCAATTTCGATTGACACACAGTTCGTAAGTTTTTCAGCTGCTTCCGTAGTCATTCTGTACGGATGTGCGAACAGAAAAACCGTGCTTTTAAATATCATTTTTTGGAACCTAATCTGAGTTTTAAATCTCTGGCAGAGCAGACATTAATGATGAATGGGTGTGTAGAAGCAAAAGACTGGATCAAGGTCTCTGAGGGGCGATTTTTAAGTCACCCGCCAGACCTCGAGGCCCTCGGATTTTAAATCTGCCAATTGCTTGCCAAACGGTCCCTATCAACATGTCTATATTTCCTAAATTCTTGACTTGAGGCTTGTGCGATTCTGGTTACTGTCTAGACTGTGTAAACAATTATGGTCCTGATTGCCAACAGCTACGTTTTTCTGCTTGTGTTTCTCACGTAACCTCGATACACCATGGAACAATTGGTGAAGAGTTTCAGGCTTTAAGGACTGCTGATACTCTGACGGCAATCAGAGCCTTCACTGCTCACTTCTTGAGAGTGCCATTAAGTAAATCTTCGCTTTCTAGCTATGACAAAGACCTGTCGACTCTATTTGTCTAACTAGATTTTGATTTGATTAGGGCTGTAACGACTAGGAACTGTCCACTGAGTAAACATACCCGTGCCGCCAAATTTTGTCAGATGTAGTTTTGCTTCCCATGTGCTCATTTCTGCGCAACAAAGTATTTATTCAAGCCTTGTTGGAGCACATCAACTCTATTCGGTGACTGCTTATTTGCTCTGTCAAAATTGTCGAGTTCATGACATACTTCATTGTTTGTTGTACCGGAGTGCGCTTTTCACTATTAGTCTCGCTTCTTTCTTTTCATTCAAACTAATAAATACTTATGATCACTCTGTTAAGAAGAGTTGCGGAGCATTATTTTTATGATCAAAAAAAATTGTGGCCGCCTCACGACAGTTTTTCAATGTAAATACAAACATTACTGATTAAAATTGTCTACCAGTCATTGCTTTCAATTAAAAAACTCTGTAACCCATAAAAAATCCTGTCATTTGAGTCATTCGTTGTAGTTTTAGTTCAAATAGCTGAAAGAAACAAAATTGGGCTTTTTGGCCACACCTTGCTGATAGGATTAGGACAGAAACAGCAACATATATTGCACCGATCTTGCGGCCTTTCGCACACCGCTAAGGACCTATAAGTGGTTACTCTGAGTCTGTTCAAGCTGCACCCTTTCTATGCTTTTCACTTGATTTAGGCAGTGGAGGCGAAGATGGGGTATGGGGACCAGGAATGACAGGTAGAGGGTGGACCCCTAGGGTAAAGGACGTGCGCCTCCCCTTCACTGTCATCCCCTTGTTTTACGACCTGCGGTTGCAGGCCAACATCTACGGGTCAAACGCAAGCAAATTTGACTTCAATGGGTCAGTCTCCATGCTCCTGCAGTGTCATGAGGCTACCGACTTCTTCTACGTCCATGCGCATAACGACATGGTCGTCAAACTAGATGCCGTTCGGGTATGTTGTTAAATCGAAGTCCGGCATTTACAAAAAAATGCTTTCACACCAACGTGTTGCCACGGGCTCATGATTGGGGGCTGTAGCTAGAGATTCCACTTCCATTCTTTGTTTCGTAAATGAGGGATAAAAATTAAGGAACCTTTTTGTGTTCTGCCATCGCAGTTTTGTGTTATTTTAAACCCACATTCAGGCGCTTCCTCTGCACATTTATCCCCTTGAATAAAATCTATGTCTGATGGTTTAGCTCGTATCAGCAAGTATGTCGCTCACCATTTGATGAATTCCACGAAAAAAGAGGAGGCATTCGGGTAGTAAACCAGCAACTCGACCGCGTTTTTGGCTAAAGTCTTTTCGAGTCCTAGGAACTGGCGTAACCATTGTGGTAAATACATTGAACCAAGTATTCATGCCCTATAAAGGGTATCGGCAATGTCCTTGCGTAATCGTTTTTAAGTGCTAATAAGGTAACCTCGAAGGATTTTTCCACATCGATTTCATTCGCCTGTTTTTTTAATCAGCTTTACAGAGAAAACAGCACTGAGAATTTGCTCGAGAACATTTCCTACGACCGAGCAAGACAGTGGTACAAGCTGAAACTCTTCAAGATGCTGGAAGCCAATAAACTTTACCGACTAAACTTTGGCGCATTTAGGGGTCCACTCACCATCAACCTTCGAGGATGGTACCTGAGCAGTTATGTGGAAAATGGAGTTACTAAGCAAGTGGACAATTCGTTTAGCTTACTGAATCTGTGTTTAGTTTTGGTACAGGTGGATTTTTTTTAACTAAACGGACCCTACTTTGATAAATTTTTGAAGTATACCGCTGAAAGCGAGTGCGATGGCTCCACTACGCCAGTTATGGGTGCTTGGATGGTCTCTGATCAGTTCGTCTTGTCTCAGAGTTAATGCTCAATAAAACGGACATGTCTGCAGGACGCATTATTTTGCCGATATTATACAAAACTGGCAATATCTATTACCAAACTGGCGTGCTTGAGTACCATTTCGACATTGGCGTTTCTTCTATTGCAGTACTTGATGCTGCTTTTTTTATGCAGAGTGCCTATCTTAAGGCGAGAATGCATTTGACATTTCCATCATCGTCCAATACAATAGCTTTGAACTTATCTTCTAAGTCCACGTTTTTTGTCCATCAATGTGCGCTTAATGCAAGCAAAGGCAACCTCAGTACTGGCTTAACATTTATTTACCAGTTAAACAATTTTGCCTATTTTTAATTTTGGGGGAAAATGAGACATTATAATGACGCTGAACGTTTATTGCTCCCTAGACTCCCTAAACTGTGATTTCCGGAACCAGGAGGTCCTAACCACTTACATAGGAAGCATCCTGAAGCTGTACTAACTCGACAATGAATTTACACAACACTTAGTCGTATTTAAAAAAATAGGCTGATATTTACAATTTTACAACTTAAAACAGTCTTGCAATGATGCGGGTTACCATGAGTTGAACGCAATGGTGTTTTTGATACAAACACTGGAAGTTTTGGTAGACAGTGTACGAATTACCGAATATAAAGTCAATGGGACAATCAAACAGAACTCAAACTGTCCCGGCTCCTTATTTGACTGACAGATTATTCCCTTGTCAGTTAACCTCCTGGTTGTAAATGCTCAATGAGCAATAGAGAATCTCGTCGATCGAACTGGAATGCGGTGTGAAACTCTGAAAATATGTAAGTGAAATAAATCACCGGCGCAGTATCAGAGACCTTTCAAGATAACGAGCGGAGTTTCGAAAGTGAGGGAATTGGTGGTTTTCCTTCAGTCCTACGCAAGCTATAATTTTGTTTGGATCGCGTGCTATGTCGTGACAGACAGAGGAACTTTTCCGCATTTTTCACTGAGCGTTTATTTTAAATTACCGAGTCATTTTGGTTCGTGAAATGCCTTTCGATTTCTGAATGCCTGGTGACCAACGGTACTACTTTGCACATCGCTAAGAAGCGGCATTGGATTTTTCAGGAACCTTGCAGAACAAAATAGTAAACCAGGCTTACGGGCGATTAACTGAGGCTGCCAATTTGGAGTCGAAATAAGTCATGAATAAACTAAATATCACGCGAGTTTGGTCGCGGCCTTAGATTTGGAAACGAAGCATCGCTTGCATAAACTATACCATCCAAAAAACGATTCTATGCAGTGCTTGCGTAATATGTAAAAAACCTGGATAGTTCATTTCAGTCATTTTTAAGATGCACTTGCTCATCGGCTCTTTTTTCACACAAGTCCATCTTGTTTGTCCTCATGGTTACCAAACTATTAGATATGTTTTCGCCTTTCCAAGAAATCGCCTTTTTCCATACTGAATTGAGTTTTACTCAGATGCGTTTTGGTTTGCAGGTACCTCGCAACAAGTCAACTACAACCGACCGATGCTAGAAGGGTTTTCCCATGCCTGGACGAACCAGCCTTTAAATCCATATTCAAAGTAAGTAGATATTGCAGCGCCATTTTATTTGAATGAGACAGGCACAAACTAGGGGAACATAAGCAGAATTATGACCCAAGGTTATTGCCTCGATGTTAATAGTCCCACTTATTGATGTCGTGAAAAGGGGCTGGTAAATTACTCCACTCCTTTTGATCTTAAAGTTGACTTTGAATCCTACTGACTGCTGTTCTCATTTCAAATAGTCGAACGAGGTTGCCTTATTAAGGGTGGTTTCGTTAATTTGTTACGGTTTTTTAGTTATCAAATTTAGATCCATAATATCTGTGTGAGGAGAGACGTTTGCTCTTAACCACCTCTCCCGAACGACGAACTCGCTTCACCAAATGTCTCATTCAAAAGTGAAGTGTCGAAACCTTGTGTACTGGGTATCCACGAAACAGATTAAAAATTGCTTCAAAAAGGCAAGGCCATTAGAACTCACTGAAATTCCGAGATGCATGAAATGAGCCAATCCTAAAGTTCTAATTGGTGGCTGGACCCTAGTATTTCAGACTTAAATGATGGATTAAAGGCGCTCGTAATATTCGATAGCCCTCGCGGTAGTCAATTGGCTCTTCACCAATTAACTAGTCTCACCAGTTCAATCCATTGCAGCTAGCCACTTAGCCTTAAATTGTTTCAATGTGAGGTCCATCGAAAACTATGTCCAATTTTGATGTGACTGTGGTCTGCAGTCAGGCAAGCTGCTAATTTGCGGGGAAAAAAGCACTGAAACCTACACACACGACATCACTGCCATCAGCGTCTTTTTCTTTAAACAGATCACACTTGTTCGTCGAAAGAACTTTACCTCTATGTCAAATATGCCTCTTGATCAGTCCAACGACATCGGCGGAGGGTGGGTTGAGGACGTCTACATGCCCACCCTGAATACCTCGACCTATCTTCTTGCATTTTTCGTTTCCCAATTCGAGAGTTTGCCTGGTCTTGATTCCAAGGGCAGAAACGTAAGTGTTGCGGTCTTCTGCAAATGTTCCTTCTCTCTCGAGTTAAGAGGCCCTTTCCTCTTGACAAAGCACTACCTGGCAAGACGTAATAAAAGGACTAATGGTCACTCCGGTCGCGTACAATGCAGTGTCGTCGTGAGTGGTGTGCAGCTTTTGCATTCATGCTAGGACAGGTAAAGTGCGCTCTCTTAATAATCCAGAAACCACGTTTCCATGTCGGGTCCTCAAGTGACCGGAAGTGCCGTGTTACTGCTTAAAACTAGTCACAACATGAAATATGTGCTATTCTCAGGTCAGCGCCTGAGTCGCTGTGTGTGTGTGTGTTTGCCGCAGATTAACTTGCCCAGAACCATTTGACACAACGTATTTTACTTACCTACGAACTAATTAGCACAAATGGTTTGACAATCAATGCTTTAGTTCACAATTTGGGCTCGACCGGATCTTATTTCTGCTGCCGACTATGCCCTTCAAGTTGGCAAGAAAATCATCGGATTTTTCGAAGACTACTTCGAACTGGACTACCCTCTAGAAAAGACAGGTAATTTCTTGCCATTGACGTAGCAGTCAGACCTTAGAATCGCCACATTAGGCACAGCTAATACACCCACCATTTTCTGTTTAATGGCCTCTGTGGTTGTCGATGAAAACATTTAGTTGGGAGTAGCTAAATGCTATAAACTGCGGCAAGTGGGGTGCCCACCAAAGTTTTATTACACCGCGTATTTTTTGTCGTAACTTTTACTACTGGCTAGACACTACCTAGGTGTGTTATTCAGTTATACATGTGAGGACATTCACATTTTGAAAGGATCCTGTGGTCACACGAAAGATAAATATTTTTTAGCCCTTTGGTCTCATAAGCTAGTGCTTCACCAATGATTGGCATGACAAGAATCTCTAGTGTGGCATTTGTGTCCGAAATTGACCGGCTTCATGCAGGTTTACCGGCTAATTAGCCACACGATGTACTCGCAGGTGCATTCAAGCGCACACACCAAAGGCTCAATTAACCCTTGGAAAAATTCTTGGTTCATTGAGTGCTCGAACCAATCATCTTTGAGCAAGATTGCATGAGTTTTCTATGACTTTCAATTGAAATCAGCCAAAAGCAAATTTATTCACCTTTGTCTTGTGACGTGACCAGATGAACCGTAGTGGTACTTTAAAACCTCCCTTCTCTTCGAGATATGGTTGCGGTGCCCCACTTTGCCGCGGGAGCCATGGAGAACTGGGGGCTGCTGATCTACCGAGAGGCGACTCTCATTTGGGATCCGGTCAGTGGAACGGAATCTGCGCGCCAAAAAGTCGCAACCGTCATTTCACACGAAATTGCCCATCAGGTGGGTATCAGCAGGGTTCTGAAGCCAGGCAGGCCCTGGACTTTCAGATTATTTTTTTCCTCGGGATCGTCATGCCAAGGTAGTCGTTCAAGTGTCTTTGAGGCCAAGCGAAGCAATGTACTAGAGGTCATGATGAATTGTTGTGAAATATCTGAAAATACTCTTCTGTTTGGAAGAATATGCGCTTGCTATCGCCTGTAAACCAACATCACTGTGCGAAAAACTATCAATGATAAATTTATAACTTTTGACGAATGTCAGTTACAGTAAATGAAGAAAAAAGGCTTATGTGGCTGATTTTAACGTTCAAATATTGGCCCAAAAAACTGCCACCTATTCTCATTTTGTTTGAAGTCAGCGAGGGACTTTTTCCTGAAACACCATGCTCTGACGTATGTTGTAAAAGCTTCCTGTTGTGATTGTATGCTCAGGGCCTTTCAAGATAGACCGGTCTTTTCTTTAACCCCTGGGTTTTATGTATTTTCCCGAACAGAGCGTGATGACTATTGTACTGTGTTGCATTACCTTGATGTAGGGACTAAAAGATTATAAATTGTTTGGTGTTTTAGTGGTTTGGGAATCTTGTGACGTTGGAGTGGTGGGATGACCTCTGGTTAAACGAGGGCTTCGCAACCTTCGTTGAATACATTGGCGTGGCCCACGCTGAACCGACATGGCAAATGGTAAGTTTCTGAGGCATTCACAGGCACTAAAGTAGGCAAATAGCGATCTGCATAGCCCATGGTCGGCCGGCCTTGTGATGGCAGGCAAGAAAGGGTAAAATGGCCCATTTACAGCCTGTTGCTTAGTGTGAAACGGATTGACTTTAAAGTGAGCTTATGCGTGTTCTGAGACCGCTTAACACTTAATTACCTCCACAATAATGCTTTTGTTTATATTCATGCTCCATGCAAACCCTTTCGTATGAAAATAGGATTTCATACATATCCAATTCCCGTTCCCGGTGCCCATTTTGAAGGCCCTCATGTGGGTCTTACGGCCACGTTGGGCACCTAAATCACTACCTTCTGTTACGCCCCGAGACGACGCCAAGAGTGAAGGGGCCAGGCTCAGCCGTCGCTGAATCTGAGTTCCCTCAGGCATGTGCTGCAGATGTGTTTACATAGACTGTCGGTAGGAGCCCAGCTACACGGGGGCACGGTGAGACGTTTCTCAGCTGGGAATCAGGGGAGAATATCAGGAACGAGGTCAAGTGGTTAACCAGGGCACCTGGGGGGAATGGCTAAGTACGCCAGCCAGTCCTGCGTGCACTGTGGTAACTCGTGGAGCAACAAGATTCACCAGAACTCAATCATCATTTGTTTAACTTCTGAATGCAACAATACCATGGCACAGGTGCCTTTTGACACTTTAGCACACATAGCACTTGCAACTAGCTGCTTAAAAGAGCTCGTATGTTGCCATCAAAGATGATCTTACACGTGTGTTGAGTTGTTTTGCCGAAGAATTTGACCATTCAAATAACTGACCACAGGTGCATACATATCAATTGTTTTCCTGAAGTGGTTGGTTTAAAAGACTATTTAATCGCGATTGGGAAGCTTAAAGATGAGTTAAGGCGATTTTAAAATGCACACGTTCTCCCCATGAACATTTCGGCTTCTGTAATATGCGTGAATTTTTGTCAGTCTTTTTATTTTCTGCACATATATCCGTTGTCCTGTTCGTTCGTGGCTCTGTAATCTGTATTAGTAGGGTAATTTATGTCCCAGTAGATTTGCCTAGGGAGTTTGCATGGTCTCTTATGCACACTGAAAAACTCTCATAATCTGTTGCATAGGTTGTATATGTATATAGTTGTAATGTTAAGCATGCCGTGGAATGCATCCTTTCTTTCAGGATGAACAGTTCGCCGTACTTCAGTTGCAAAAAGTCCTCTTCATAGATTCTCTGTCTACCACTCACCCCGTATTCATGCCGGTTGCACACCCGGATGAAATTAACGAGATTTTCGACACCATTTCATATAATAAGGTAGGCTATGTTGACGTGTAAACACGTCCAGTCTACTTTCCTTGATTTTAACCCTGCTTTCATGCGCACAACACATATCACCATTCTGATAAATGACAGATTTGTTAATCGAATATTAATGTATTTGACAACGTTCGATCCTGCTAATTTACCACCCGAAGTATCCCCGAGCCTAGATTGAAAAGACGGTGGCAGGCAGAGTTGCTTATTCATTCGCAAACGTGAAGAACTTGAAAAAATTGCTTCACATTTAGTAATCCAGAGTCACTCATCGAATAAATAAACGATTAACTCATGGCCAATAATTAGCGTTTGTGAGCCGTTCGGGAGTAGATGGTACTATGATTATTCACACGACTCGTTGTCAAATCCTGAATTCGGACGAGTCCGCAAATACACTTTACTAAAAACGAAATTTGCCCTGCAGTAAAGTAAGATCTCAATGTCTGGCTGCAGCGTTGGCCCCAGGCTGCGCTTCTCCATGTCTATTTTTTTTGATACTGGGAATTAGCGTCTTTTAGTGAAAAATATACCTTTTCAACTATACGAAACATTATATTGCTCAGTCGATTGAAATTAACAATGGAACTGCGCCTCAAGAAGGTGATCAACAAAATTCAAGGCGGTATAATTTTTTTGATTTCAAAAATTTTATTCCTAACTCTGGGATAGCCATTCTTGAGAGGTATTTTTTACTGATCTTGCTACATTCATGATTAAAATACCTTGTTATTTTCCAAGTTTATCGAAGGGTATGGTAAATATAGGTGACAGAAGAATGAGGCAACTATTACGTCGCCAAGATTTAATGTTTGACTGGGTGCTCACTAGCCTGCGTTTTGTGTACTACAGGGTGCCTCAATTTTGCGGATGATGGAGGCGTTTCTCGGACGAGAGGTGTTCCGCCAGGGCCTCAAGGTGAGTTCACGTTGAAACACCGTTTAGGCTCTTAACAGATGCCCTGTTGTTCACAAGTCTCTTTTATATCTCCTGTTAGATTTATCTGTCCAAACACAAGTTCAGAAACACGGAACCCTCCGACCTATGGGACGCCCTTACAGAGGTTTGCCTGTATTCCCTATTGTTTTTCGTATTACGCCTAGATTCGACCCATTCCTCAAAACCTTGGTAGCGTTTTTATCGATTAACTAAGTACTTCAGGTGTATGCATTTCTTAAGCCCCTGTACTTTAATTTACGCCAATTTCTTCGCTTCATTTTCCCACGTGGTCTGCTTGTTAAGATTAAGCTGAACCGGCTCAATCGTAGCTCATTTGTACCGCCCCTAACGCCACTTAGCTGCATTAATGCCCTAACCCAATGCATATGAAACTAATCTCCTACATCAGGACAGTTGGACAGGTCGATATTCCGCGACACCTAATCCGGGTATTTTATGCTGTCGGTACGCGTTACGCATTTTAATTCTGAATATCCTGTCTGTTGTAAATGTGGTTGTTTATGGAGTGATATCAAAGAAGTGATTAGTGTCCTCCACCGAAAGTGCAACACGTTTATGATGGCAAACACAATTCCAATCCATCAACTAGCTATTCATGAACAAACTGCAGCCATCTCTTTTCTTTTCTACGTTTTGCATCCGCGAACATTTCTAAGTGGTTGAAATGTACGTTAACCTAGATCATTTTACCATAAGTCCTTTAAGCGAAATTGATGGGCCTTAATGGTGTACATTTCTTTAAATTTTGTATCTGTCGAATAATGCATTTGCTGTTATCTTGATTGAAACAGCAGCCACGATAAACCGCACTTGTGCACAAAACTATATTCCAGAGACCAAGTATTCGTGCAATATGCGCATTTTAAAATGAATGATTAAAACGTGGAAGTAGTCGTCATGTAGAGAAACCAACGCAAATTCACCGTTCAGAAAATGGTATTTCCTCACACTTTTGCTTGATCACATGGGCTTTCCGAATCGGGACAATGTTTGGCTGTGAAACATTTCGAATTTAAGTCCGATATTTCTTTTTTTCAAATACAAGTAACAATTTCACAACGGTTTTACTTCCAATAGACAAGTATGCATCACGAATAACCAAAAATCATGATTTTTCGGTGATTACAAAAAACTTGCATTGAACTTCAAGACTCCGAAACTTAGCTTTCACTGCACGACAGTAAACCTGTGCTGAGGATTTTGTAATAAGATCACAAATTTGTTTGTCACTCACTATGTACCGGTTATCCTCGTTGCTCCTTCGTAATTAGAAGTTAGCAGTATGCATCTGCCGTAGTCTGAGTATTTTAACTAGACCCTTTAATTGGTGTTGGATACGTTATGCTGTCCAGCATTTATAAAAGACTAGTAGTGAATTAATTAAGCCAAGAATCCAATTTTCTTCTAAAAACGGCATCTAACACTGTTCTTGGCTGACTGGAGTTTTTTTAGCTACGTGATTCATTAACCGAAGGTGAGGTTTAGTCCCGCGTGTCTATCTCCGATCGCCGACACGCTTTCACCCAACTTCAAGCGTCACCTTTCTTTCAGATGTTAACCTGATAGGGCGTAAAAAAAGTGACGTAAGCCATCTAGACGCCTTTTTGTGCGGCATTTTAAGCGCGCCTCTTTGTAATGCACGCAATCAGCTGTCCACATCCCCGTGGCCATCTGTCGCCATTTGTTAGTGCTGCCGTGGGGCTGTTATTTTCGCGAAGTAGAACAGCAATTTAGTGAAAATACTATCTTTTGTAATGTATCTTTAGCTTAATATTAAATTATCTTTCTTATCTTTCAAATAAGAACATTGGTTACTGCATTCTCACTGTAATTTGCGCATTGGAACAACATATCTAGGCAAAAACAGCAGACTTGTGTTTAAAAACGTGAAAAACTAAAATCTCTAGACTATGTTCAGGCAATTTCCTGTTGCTGCTTAGAGCAACTTGGCAGGCATTTCACCCAGATTTCTCCAGTCCCCAAAACGTACACCAGTAAAGGCTGCCACCAACTACAACTACTACAACTAGGAAACAACTACAAGTATTACCAGGAACTGCCAAAAGTCGGAAAAATTTGTCAACACTTCAAACCATCCTCCTGATTTTCTCTTTCATAGCCAAAATAAAATGTAAAAAAACCTAGCTTGGTTGTGAACAGACTGGACAAGTGCTTAAGGTCGAACTTGGATTCTGAAGTAGCCATATATTTTGCGAAAAATGTGATCGCGTTTGCAAACATTACGCCTTATGATATTTTCTGAATGAAGAAATTTGCTCAGTCGTTGAGAACCAAAATGTGATTTCCGCTTGGTGCTAGTTTTAAAAAACACTAACACTTCACTCACAACAATGGATGCAGAGGCTAAATACATTTTCAAAATGTATTTATAGGCCCTGTTCGTGGATACTAGTGATTCATAGTCACCGGAGAATCATTCTTTTCCAAGATTAATTTGTCGGACCAATTATTTCATGTATGGCAGTGCAAAGTTGTTTGTAGTCAGTTTTGAAGACGGTAATGGAAACAGGGTGGAGGAGGTAAGTGTCGTTCGTCCGCCGAGACAACTCGCGCAAAATGGGAAATTAAGGACCAAAATCGCAATTCAAAGATGCAACAAATTAAAATCACGGACGTTGGTTGTGTTTTGCCGTTTCAGGCCAACGCAGTGTCAAATAACCATATCAACGTGCACCAAATAATGAACGTTTGGATCAAACAAGCCGGCTATCCTCTTGTGACTGCAAAGCGACTGGGAAAAAATCGCTTTGAACTGAGGCAACAGCGGTTCCTCCTTGGTCTTGGACAGGATAATGCCTCCTCAACCGCCACATCTGCAAACAAGTTCGCTTTAACTTATTACAAATTTTAATCCCTTTTAATTAAACTCTGAAAATCCATAAATTTGATGAAACTTTAGGTAAATGCAATTAATTTTGAGAAACCATCCTGAAGAACCAGTCACCATGTAGCTATTCCGTATGACACTTGAGTAAAACGTGTTAATTATTCATGACTTGGGTTCTTATTTTACCCTAGTCCAGTTCTCCACAAGAAACGTTCCAGGCTGACAGGACATTATTTAACCAATAATGCTTTTAATTACGGAGTTAATTTCCGTATGGTGACAATACACCACTTAAATCAGAAAATAGTAACAGATTCCAACAGAGTCTGTGGCGTGGCTTTAACGCTTACTTCCCTTTTGTAGTAAGCTTTGGAGCATTCCAATCACCTATGCAACAGCATCTGAAGATCAGGAAACCGCTGAAAGCCGAATTTTGTGGATGGACAATGGTAAGTCTTGGCCAAGTGAATTGTTGCGAATATAACGCGCCGTGTTTAACTACCCTACTGCTGGAACCATGGCGTTGAATATGTTTTGCAGTAGCTTTACTTATTCCTTATCTTCTGGTTGTAGTCCAAATTGAAATTAATCACAGTGCCCTTATGAGTACACAACACAGTAGTCTCACAATTAGTGTTGTGTCCACCAGTGGCTGAAATTTCCAAAATGAGCATCTGGGAAGATTGTGGTCGAGGGTCAGTGAATGCGGCGGTAATAGGTGTGCCATTTAAGAAAGTTTGCTTTCTATGCAAATGGACGTTGATCTCACACACGAGATTGAATGGTCCTGTTTTTTTGGGTCTTACAACATCAGGTTAAAAACTAAGCTTTTTTTCATACTTACAGCACAAGGTCAGCACATTGCTGCTTTGAGATAAATAAACTTATTAATTAACGTTTTAGGGGAGACAGGTTACGAGGGAATCAAATGTGGTGTCCTGAAAGGAGTTCGCATTTTAAGAAAGTGTCAAAAAAGCTACTTTTAGGAATTCACTGGCCATTTCGATTTCCTTTAAAACACAATGTTTTAACGAATATTTTGGAAAAACGAAAAGGGCCAAGTAATCCAGGAGCAAGAAATTAAGCAACTTTCTTTGCAGCTTCATGGTTCCATGTTTGTTGGCGGTTGTAAGTTACTAGTAAAAAAAGTTGACGTTAAAAGAGTTTTGCAAACTCCGAAGTATTTAGTAATCTGTCGACACCTCCGTGGCAGATGCGATTCAGCATCCTCAGCTAGCCTAGCACCATCTCTGTTGGACACTACTCCTTCGCGATTTTTCACTTCTAATCAATTACTTCCTAATCTAGTCCAACCTAGCGTCCGGATTGACAAATCGGCAGTATGACCTTATTCGATGCATTTCGTCTTTTGATGTGATTTTCTCTGGTTCATCACGCTTGGATCTTGAGGGTTTTCCATTCATGTCATTGTAGACCGTCAGTTTTCAATGGGGATGATGAGTTGTGACAAAATTAGGATGATTGTATTGCATTTAAGGTTCAAGTTGCAAAGATTGATCCGTTGTGCTGTGTTACTTTCTTTGGGTCCATGTGCGACCCCAAAATCAAGGTTCTTAACTCTCAAAACTACCTTGAGTTATTTTTACTTGTTTTTTTTATGAAACATCTAACATTAGCAATTTACTGCACGCTTTAATGACCCCCATCCAATTTAATTATTTCGACTTGATCATTATCAACTTCAGTTGGTAGACCTGAAAATTGCTAGTCTTGGAGTGAATAATTTCATAGCCGGAATCTTTAAGTCAATTTTTGCATGCGAGCTCTGTCAAATCATCAACCCCATAAACTTTAAACAATCTTTTCGTGAGCCCTACCGGTTATCTCACCATTACGAAACTTTAAAAATTGTAATGTGTCGAAAACATTTTGCTTTAACTCCATTTTAAATATGCTCCTAGCGTAGCACTTTCATGTAAAATTATTTGCAAACATGGTGTTATTTGCAAAATCTGACATTACTTTCTTGGCGATCGATTAACTTTGGTATAATTTAATCAAACTATCCTCTATTGGCTCAACAACCCTTACTAATTTTTTACTTAAAATTGAGTCAAACAATAAGGCAGTACCTGTACCACTTGCTGGGAACACGCCTGTGTGTGCTGGACTGCGACAGAAACAAATTAAGCCGTTTAATTTTGCAAAAAAATTAATTTCCCTCGCATAATCATCAAAAATAACGCCTTTTTATTCGTTGATGATAGCGCAATTGTTTTCGCTAAACTCTAAGAGCCGGCATACCAGAAGGTTTCCGAATTGCTCTTCTGGAAGACCCAACTGTTCGAAAAATTGCATCGCGTCCAAGAAATATTAGTCAGTTAATACATAGCCTGGTACGTGTCGAAACTAGAATGAAAAGGACTGCTGAAGCCCCAAATTTATTTTCAATTTATTCCCATTTTGTAGGAAGGAGACTTTTCTGTAAAAAAATGCACGATGCGTCTTGAATTTGCTTTGACTTGCCACGACTGTCGAGTTTGTGTATCCGTAATCATAGCGCAACTGCGTGGTTCAAGTAAAAAAGATGCCTCGACGATCTCCGCACGCACTTTTAGTGGAGGCATTGTAGTCCAAGGCTGTCCGGAAAAGCTTGCCCTAACCTGATTAGTATCTCTTCCTCTCACTCCTACCTTCCATTAGGCTCTCGCCGCAACTGCTCTAATAACACGCTCACGTGCAAGTGGTTGTGTCCATCTGACTTTCCTTGTTCACTAGCTTGCACTTGGCTCCGAAGAACACTTGTTTTGCGGCGGAATCGCAATGTCTGAATTCCTGTCACCGCTATCCTTTCACACCGAGTGTTCGACCCTGCAAATTTTTGCCAAAAGTATTTTTACTTAATCCTAAAATTCAAAGTGTTATTGCTTACAGGATTCACTGAAACTCGAACCCTCTTTTGGTACACACTTTTTAGAGTCTTTAGACAATGAGTAAATACGCCGTGTGCATCTGCTCTGCTAAACCTCACGCGGTTGGCGTCATAGTTTCAGTCTTGGAGCGTCTTGACTATGCTTCAAATATACAGTAGTGTGTTGTATCTAATATCACCCCACACACGTACACACTCTTTCTAGGTCTGGGTCTATAGAGTTAGGACCAAGGTCACGTTATAAACGCTCTTTATGGTTCCCAATTTCACTGACCTCAACAAACGTGTAGGTTTTTAGTCGCTTTTTATTCGGCTAACTGCCATGATAAGTACTTTGGCTTCATGCGTTAAATTAAAGCAGGTCTCTAATTTCAAATGCTGTCCACAATCTAGGGTTAGTAATTCAAGCCTAATTTTACTCGATCTGTTTTCCACATTTTCCTGTCATTCCCTAACTATCATCAAAGCATTTCAAGGAGGAATGTTTCCCGTGATGTGCAAATCAGTTTTGGGCTAGTGTGGTAGTGAATCGTGCGCACGATAAGGCCTTTAATAGTAATAATTATCAATTTCAGTTACAAGGTGGTGTCAATAGCACTCAGTCTTAAGCATACAGAAGTTTGCTACAATTTCAGGCCTTTTCTATTGCTACATATATGTGGCCTTCGATTTTGTCGACGTCGGCGTCGTAGTGAAAGTTCTGGTTCGTTTTGACCTCAGCTAAATTGATAAACTAATAATGCAGACACTAATTAAATCTATCCAAAGCAATACAGGCCATAGATTGAAAGAATTCTGATATCCTGACCTTGAGACTGACGAAACGGTCACCATTTCGAGTCGCTGTCGTTGTACACATTGTCGACGATAGATTCCAAATTCGTGTAACACAAAATTACATTTGTCTATGCTAATTCATAACAAGGTATCTTTGTATCCCTCCCACCGAATACGCATTGAGTAGTACTGTTCTAGAAGCACGTGGGCCTAAAAGACAGCTTTCTGCTTGTGCATATAACAATACTTCGGTCTTTTTAAACCACAGTTACTTGAAGTTCCGTCTGTTAACTGTTGAACGGAAACTGGACTTATTGCTTTTCATCCGTTAAAAAAAATGCAAATAGCTGCTTTTGCAGTCTAACATCAATTTCCTGTTGGTGAAAGAGAGAGATTTAATTGTTCTTTGTGAGATCACAATGATGATGGCCAAGGGGGAACTCTCCATTCCATTATTATCTTTTTTCTTTCACTTTATAGTTTTGACCGCAAGTTACCCTAATTACGTAAGAGATATTTTGGGGTAAATTACGTAGGTCCTTTGATTTACAGAAACGCTAGAACTGGAAATCGATGTTCCAGAGGGTCAGTGGTATGCACTTAATCTCCGACAAACTGGGTTCTACCGGGTAAACTACGAACTGGAGAACTGGCTCACGCTTACCGAAGCCCTCCTCAACAACCATGTGGTAAGATTTTAACAATCTGCTCGTCTATACCCCAAGACCAGTGGTATTAAACGCGGTCGTTAGGTATCTGGCAATTATTTTGTAGCAAACTAAGCTTCTGTTTGTGTGAGCAACTTGCGTTGACAAGTTCGCGGTATAAAGAAGAAAGTAACAAAGTACGTGGTATTGCTAATTGTTGGCAATTACGACTAGTAATATTTTCGTCTTAGGCCTCGAACAACGGTGCGTCTAATCACGTTGTTATCTTTGTATTTAGAAAACTTTAAAATCCGGATAGATACATTCACAAGGCCGATTGCAAAAGTCAAAATTTTTATTCTCGACTCTTGCCTTTAATGCCTTTTTCAGGAGGTGCCGCGGCTAATGCGTGCTCAACTGATCGACGACAGTTTTCACATTGCTAAGTAAGGCGTTTCTCATTTTGACATTTGTAATTTCAAATTCGAAATAATCTTTACATGATCCCGAACCCCTCAGGGGTTGGCCATTGTGAAGGGCCGGTTTTTACGTGTTATTACGTCAGAGAGAGACCTAGGGACATGCGGCCTCTTGTATGCAAATGATATCATGCCTTTGCATTTCCACCACCAAGCCACTTTGCCCATTTCTGTCAAAACGAGGTTTTTCAGCATTCAGTCTAACTATAGTCCGGAAAAAATTCAAAAAGGGATTTGTGGGGTCGCTTTAGAATTGGCTTCTTCAGTTTCAGATTGAATTCAATCGCCATTGATCGATGAGCTACCAATTACTTAATATGCTTTAATTCTTCTGTTCCCGTTGTGCTTATGAGCCGGGAATTTGAAGCTTTTCTGCATTTTGCTGTTTTATTCTCTAGTCAGGGCGCATTGCGATTCGAGGTTTTCTTGAACTTGACACGGTACCTACGTAATGAGAGGGATTTCGTCCCCCTGAACTCGGCGAACCGCGCCTTCAACTACCTCTATGACATGTTTGTCATGCACGACGGTTACGAGACCTTGAAGCTTTACGTTCGCAGTCTCGTCGCTGAGGCCTACAAAGACATTGACTGGAGCGCCGATAAGTCAAAAGATAATCACCTTCTTAAGTAAGCGCATGGAACATCAGCCACTTGCGTTTGCAGACATGATCCCAACCTGCACAAGAGACTACACCTTTCCTTATTAGTTCATCTTTCAAATGTTTGTAGTGGAGGCTGTCAGATCTTCGCATGGCATTTAGTATTACTTTTGTATTTGTTGTTGAGAAATTAGCGGTTTTAAGAAGTCATGTAGCTCCACAAATCATGTTCCCATTACCGGTGAATTCTACCAATGTAATTTCTATACCTCAACACGACTATAGATGTCGATTTTGTCCTAGTTAGTCATCTGGGAAAGTGAATCTCTTGTCATTTTTGCTAAAGGCACTTGTTTAACTTGACTTCTTGAATAGTCAAGGCAGATCTGGATGAGCGGAAACATTATTTTCCTTGACACAGCGTCAAGTTATAAAATAATGAAAGCAAATTCAGTAGTACTTATTTTGTTAAGCTTAATATTTACGCTAGGAACCAGTAAGTTTTAATGAAGTAAATCCAAACTATTGATCAAAATTTCGATGAATTCCGACAAATTCAATTTTTAAGCCCATTAAAATCCAAAACTCACATTATACTTATTGACCCAAAACAGCTCTGTTAACCACTCCATTACCTTAGGATTAACATTTTAAGTACAAAGTAAAGTAAATGTGCTTTTATGTGAAAATAAGTTCTATTGTGAACAAAGTTGAAAAATACCATTAGTCGGATCGCAGTTTTACTCACCCCATGGTGAACCGCTATGTTCTGGGATGTAATAACCGTCAGCCTGTATTGATGGCCACCTGTCCTTCGTAGGGTGTTCAGTTATTCAGGTTTATCTCTAAACTTACTATGAAACCTCCATGTCGTCCATCTTTACGCATTCACTTCATTGATTTTACCGAAGTCATTTTGTAAAGAAGACTTATATCTTTTACATTTTAGACAGATCTATGTGCTTATTTTATCCTAACGTCGTTATGCTTTAAAAGATTCTTGTCTAGCTCTTAGAATGTGGGACGTTGAAACGTTGGCACAGTATGTCCAGTTGATACCGGCCATTTTTTTAAAGCAAACTACATGGACCCCAGCTTGGTTGCACTGCAAATAACCCATGTTCATTTGATGGGCAGGGAAAAACACTGCCTACCCAATACTAGCGATAATCGTTTTTCATAATTTGCTGGAGAATTGGCAATTTCTATCCCTCTTGTTAACGCAAATGTTGATTATCGTTTTGTTGCTGTTTAGCCTAGCGAGGCAAATCATCGTTTCGATGGCTTGTGACGCTGAAAACAGCGATTGTATCAAGAGATCTCTGAAGCTGTTCAGTGAATTTATGGCCGATCCATCAAACAACAAGTAAATCCAAACACCTGTATTATTCTTATTTAACTAGCGATTCTCAAATCACATACTTTGCTATTTGGACTAGACGAAATTTTACAGGTGGGAAGATATCCTTGCGTTGTCCTGTAAACGTGAATGTAGATGAGATACTAGGGATATCAGGAAGCACAACTCTACTACTCTCACCGCAGGACGTGACTATCACTTAGATTTTCACCCGGTTTTTAATTGTAAATTCTCAAATAATGTCAAAAAGAAGCAGACGTTAAACCATGAGAGTTGAGAGTTGAAATTATTTACCTTAACAACGCTTCTGCCTTTCTTGTCTATACTTGTGTTAGGATTCCGACGAGCCTAAGTAGAACAGTCTACTGTACGGCTGTTCGTGAAGGTGGAGTTGCCGAATGGGACTTTTTGAAGCAACTGAGTACGAAGGTTCTGCACGAGGAGGAGAAATACCGGATCCTCGAGGCCCTGGGCTGTACACGTGACTTTGTCCGTCTGAGGACGTAGGTCGAATGCTCTCGTGTTATAAATGCAATCAACAAAGTCCGTCTACTTTTCGCTGCCCTTACTTCATCTTCCTTTTCTTCGCTGTAGGTACGTACGGGAGTTAATCGATGATGCAATATCAAAGCATGATGACCTCGATCTCCCAGCCTCTCTGAGCGGAAATCCGATTGGCCTTTATGTGATCTACGACACAATCAAACGGGAATGGCCCAACAGAAACCAAAGGTACTTGGTCATTATAATTAATATAAACGTAATTTCTCTGGTGTTACACTCGAATGTATATCGATCTACCTGAGCCTAAGATCCAGGGACTACATGTCACTACTGATTTATCGGCAGTGATCCTACGATAAAAATAGGTGCGTAGCATTGTTAATGTATACTCTTCATACTTCAATCAGAATTGTTACAAGTTATTTTTACTTCTAAATACCACATGAAGAGGTTTTGCTTTACGTAGTTTTATTTCCATGTAATTTTTGTTAAATTCATCGTCTTTGTATGACTAAGCCAAGTAAGAAGCTAAAAGTATCATCATCACCTTCATTGATATCATTCATGCATTACGTCTGGTAAAATTTAGCATTCTTGATCCGACATATCCAAATTGTCACATACAAGGTTCTGCATGACAGAAGAGGTCGAAGAGCTATAAGTTCTCTAGGAAGTAAGGCCATAACCTTTTCCGTTGTACCAGGTATATGTGCCAGCAAATGGTATTATATGCGGTTGAAGGATGCTCTATTTACGCATAATCTAACATTTTTCACCCAGCATAAATCACCGTTCCAGTCTATCGTTCATGAATGATGTCACTTTCTGTGGTTGTATGGGCCTACCTATAATTTACATAACCATAAAATAGATGTTAATTGGTTTGCGATTCGTTAGTCTAGAATAAGATTGTTCTAAAATAGTTATTTTTATTATTTTTTAGCTACAATTCTCCATTCAAAATGATTCTGAAGGCCGTGGAAAAACGTGGAATCATCATCGAAGCCCTGCCTATAAAAGATGATGTGCGTAGTTTCCCTTTTTATTAGTCCTATTCCAATGTCCTCAGTCCTTAAAGACGTAGCTAACGTGTTGTCCCACATAGCACACAGAGCACAGCGCATAAGTCCGTAACCACGTGCATTGAGTTTATTCTACATTCTCCTGGTAAAGGTAAGTGATTTTGAAGAACTGGACACAGTTATTATCCTTGTTGAACGTTTTACTTTAATTGTTAATGGCTTGAGGAGGGGAAGATTCAATAACAGTCCACCGAAGATTACCTCATAGTCACGAATGGTCCTTTTTGGCTAAAGGCGTGTAACTCAAACTAATAACTTGTGATGGTCACCGGAAAGATGCAAGTGCTATCTTTTGCACGTGATGTATATCTTAGTTTTACAGGCCATGTACACAATAATGTCAGCCAAAATGAGGTATCACAATGCCATGTGACTTAAGTCACAATAAATTTAAACATGTCTCGTTTACAGTGGTGCACCCTTGGTTCTTCGGGGCGAAAAGGGACTGTTTTTAATGTTTATATGTGGAGACGGCCGAGGAAAACTCGGAGAACACTTAAAATGATTTCAATTCTTTTAAATGTAGTCATGAATTAGGTTATCAATGTTGGTTATAGTTAAGCGTATTAAAAGATATTTGTTCGGCAAGAACCCACCTCTCACCTTTATTCATTTTATGAAAATATCAAAAAAATAGACGAGAAATAAACTCGTGGATTAGGACAGAAACTTGTGTCACAAATTAAGTTGTTCTGTAGGGTCCTGGGATTTGAAGCGTACCAAAATTACTTACCAACTTCCATGGCCCAAAAGCTTTATTGTTAATTAATAGATTGTGGGAAACTAGAGTTGACAACCACTTCGGTTTTGTGAGAAAAGTTTGGCATTCAACTTCTGGTTAGTATGTTTTTTTCCTGATACAAACAAGAACCTTAAACAGTTTTGCATTAAATTTGTGACCCTCCAAAAAACATTTGGTTACCAATCTCAATCATGCAACACCGGGAAGCATTCAAAGTCATTATGTAAAATCTGATGCACTATGGTGTCAGACGTCCCATTGAGCATCTTTCTATAGCGACTGCACAATTTGTCTAAACTAACATCCTCAATTATGCGTAAAATGAAAGCCAGGGAAGGGCCGAAAGGGTGTCTGTGTGACTACCAGGCTAAACCTAGCGCCTTAAAGCTTTTTGAAGTCGAGCATATTCTACTGTAGCTTCTGCGAATGAATGCCACAGTTCACCTTGAGGCCGATCGGCAAACGGGTCGCTCCATCAACCGGCTCCTTATGCAATCCAAACGCGACAAAAATTGGCTGCTTAAGTACTCCAGCATCATCCACGAGTGGCTTAAGCGACAAGCCTAATCCGACGAAACAGCAGGAAGACAGGTCTACACAATCTACCCATTCCCTATCTAAATTTGCCTGAAAGAGGCAATTTTGAAAAGGCTATCGCTTTCTTTCACTCCCCCCCCTCCGACTCTTATGTGAATGTTTTGTGCTACACGAAGCACCTGCATCCTTGTCAACTCTCACCTTACACTTGTGTGGTCTAGTTGATTTTTATTTCTTCAAGTATGTAACCTGGCCATATTATAACCTAATACCTCTTCTGTAAAGCATTTAAAGCCTTGGCTACACCATTTAAGCCTTCTATATCTATCTACGGGCTATTTAGGATTAAGGGGAGTGGTTAACAAAATGACAACAAAAGCAGCGAGGCTATTTAAAGAAGACAGCTTCATAATGAACCTCCAGAGTCGAACTTCGCTAAATTTAGTTTCTAACTTTAATTACGTCAATAAAAAGTGGTAATAATCGTGGGATAAGTTGGCGCTATCCGACTTTATCGGTGAGAACTCAGGGTTATCTATTGCCATCAAAAGAGCTTAGTTATTTTAAATCCGTTTGCTGTACTGAGTTTTATCTGCCTTCAGATAAAAAAGTGATATTCGTGCGGCTTGCGTGACTCCATCATTCAAATCGTTATGTTCTTGGTTCGGTACCAGAATACTTTGTAAAAATGATTTGTATTCCCGAAATGACGCAAAAGTGATTGGACTCTGATTTCAAATTCGCCAAAATTCCCAAGTGCGCTGTAATGGTGATTAATTAATTAAAGACAGCAACAGTCTCAAAAAACGCATCCATTGATGTAGTCCCTGTTCTGTGACACTATGACATTCTTACTCGTTTCTGTAAACACAAGAAAGGGTGGCATGTGTAAGCAGTGGCATCATGGCATAATTTTGTGGTTACCTGGTGTTACCTTTAGTTGCCCTTTTTACATTCTATTAACTCGTTCCAAAAATGGGCAAAAGGAGTGAAGGTGTGCCTTTTATAGTATCTCTAAGTAATAGTCAGTCGAAGACATGGAACTACCCAGAAGCGCAGCCGATGAATTCGTTGCAGCTGTTGGCATTAAAGGTTTTCGCATCAAAATCATGCATCGTCTTTCACTTATCTCAATATTTGTTGGGTTTCATCAGTTCTAGTTGCGGTTTCTAGCTGCACGAGTATATTTTAAGGGTACTTCAGAGTCTGGATTGATACAGTGACAAGCATTAAAAATTAGAGATCACAAAAACGAACCAAACAAACTTAGACTGAGCACGTAAGTGGGAGGCTAAGGGAGCACCTGCCCTACTTTTGCTTAGCTCAATACTCTCAGAGTCACATTCAAGACATTGTGTACAAAGAAGTCTATTATTTGTAATTTTACCAATAAAAACTCAACTAGAAGTATTTAAAAGGCAAGAGTTCCTTTCACGAATTAAAAATCACTTGAACTTAGAAGACGACTGTAGTTTTTTAAGGCTGCAAGCGATTTATACAAGATGTAGCTAGAGTTCGCCTCCGAACATTTCAGTATATGCTATTCCGGGAATTTAGTCATTAGGCCACAGTCTGTGGATGAGACGAAATTATCTATGATCCCAGATGCAAAGACAGTCAATCAAAAGCGCTTGCAGCTGGTTCAAAAAGAGCAGAGACACTGTATATTACTAAACCTTTTTAATAGCAATATTAGTTTACAAGTGGCATAATGAATCCATGTATAATTTTAAGATAGTGAAAAAAGACATTGCTTCCAGCTCTAGAGAAATTAAATTTGTGAGGGAGATGTCACCCAACACAGCAAAATTTAACTGCTCTTCTTTTTCCCTTGATCCGGCCATCAAACAAGGAAGTACTTCCTTCGTAACCAGTCGACACTGTGGATTAGGAATCGAAAAAAATTCACAGCAGCAAGATTAACTCCCAGGATAACAAGTCGACTTTCGATTAGTGAGTGGGATAGGACGATAGTCTCGAATATGTGCTTACTTCAACCTATCTTAGTAACTGACACTTTATCAAATACTTCATATGAATTACAGAGTTTTCTGAATTTGTTAGAATTTAATGTGCAATTTTTAGATTGTGCTTGGTACAGATTAACATCCATACTTGCATTCACAGAGAGCTTTAATGAGGATTGACTCTCTTTTGCTGTGAATTCAAACTATTCATGGTCATATTATTTGGTATAGACAGTCGTAGTCAGCCGGTGCATTCACTGAATTTCGGTTAACCAAAAGCGGCCATTTGGGATCATCCTTTCATTTTGCTAGATACTTATGAACTATATCTTGATGTCCATTGTAATAAAAGTAAAGTATATTAGATGCTGTTGTTGTGTTTACAAAGAGTTGCCTCTCATCCCTGCGTTAATTAAAGTGGTAACCACTGAAAGAATCTAAAATCTCATGCGACAGCAGCCTTTCCGCATTATCGTGATAAGTAGAGGTACTGAACTCAATTAAGTGCCTTTCGCAAAACGAAATTTATGGAAAATTTCAGTTTTCAAATATCACACGGATGAAAAAGTATAGGCGTCTTACATTTCTCGATATTTCTATCTGCATCAGCCAACTCCATATCACAAAATTACTTATTTAATGGAAGGCACTAGCCTCGCCTAAATACTGCCTGCCTGCGTAAATACCCTCTGCCATAACTAGTTGCTGTCTTGACGCAAGTAGAAGGTTAACTGTTATGAGTGAATCTAGTGATTTATTCCAACTCCTCAGAAAACCAGCATACATACAAGTTAGGAAAGGACAATTTCCGGAAACTCTCTTTGGAAACATTCATAAATTATGGAAAACAAGCAGCTAATGGTGTTTTGGATAAAAGTTCAAAAGAAAATACTCATGGAATTAGTAGGGATGAAAAATTAACCCAGTTACGATGCACTTACAAGATCAAAGCATTTCTATTGGTCAATTGAAAACCATAATAAGTGATTGAGGTAAACATATCAACTTCATGTTCTTTAGCTGATTAAATTAAATGATAAATAGTTGGGTCATGGGGTTGGTATCACCATATAGCATGGCAGAAAAAAATTTTGAAGACAAATTCTGTTGTTGTAGAGGTGAACCAGGTAACTTTGAGCAAGATAGCAGAGATGCCACCTTCCCAGTACTGAACAGAGACATCAGTAGTCATCTCGAATCATTCAGCATAAATGCCTTCGGTGTAACTCCATAAAGGTCAGCAACTTTATCATGTAAAATCTGTTGGCTAACTGTTTGCCTTCACGCAATGATTTTACATTCATCTTTCAGGGCCCCACCCCACCATTCAAAAGACTGATAAATAACTGATAACGTACCTGAATGTTCTTTCAACGGAGTTGAACTTTGAATCTCTACTTCAAACAAGGTGGATTCAATGGTCGTTAGCCAAATATAAGTTAAAATGAGTAGGTAACTAACTAAAATGGGATCACTAACGAGTATTCCCGAGTGCAGCAACAACGTGAGCACCGCTCATCGTCCCATTATATGGACGATATAGTCAGGCCAAGTGTCGATCGGGATTGGGTTGGTTGCACGGTGTGTGCGACGACAGTATGCAGTGCAGATACCAACGCACACACCACGGGAACACATTATAGCAAGTGTATAAGTGACTGTTCATCTCCCTTTATCGACTATTAATCATCTCATCCGGTATTTGGTGTTACGACAGTTATAGAGAAACAAGGGTTGTGGATTAGCTTCTCATCACTAGAATTAATGACCGTGACGAGGCCAGACCCCAACCTACCATAGACACTTACATCCTGCTAGGAATGCACACCACGAACATGAGCAATAACTGCCCATCATGTATGTGTTATAACTATGTCATTGAGTGTTTACTCGTAAATTTGCAGTTTCAACCACGCAGCATCTCTGCACTAGGACCAAAAATTCAGATGCGATTTGGTTAACACCTGCCGAGTAAACGTGTAACCTTACCGCACAGAGACGACAATTCATCCAAGACACAACCGAACAACGCTCCCAAACCAATTTAAGGTCCTGTATTTCACTGTTAAGCTCTTTCTGTTTGTAGTTGTCCTCCCCAATGATTACTTAGCCTTATTTTTAGTTTATTTATAACTCTTTTCAAAATCTTAAATGAGTGCAATTCATTAATCACACTGTTTAATTAAACATCAGTGCTAACGACAGTATTTTACTGATTTTAATTGAAAATTGCATTTAAAAAAACGTTTTTTTTGAACTTGGTTACAATGAATTTCGTCACTAATTTAAACTACGCCTAGATCTGTCCAATTTTTCGGTTTCAACAAGACATTTGCTTGCAGGTATATCATTATAACTACAGCCGAGAACAGTTCCAAGGAGATATAATCGTAGGAAGCATAAGCAACCCACAATCAAGGAATCGGTTCTTCATGCAGTACCAACATTTACATGGATCTGCTACTTTTACTCTCTTGCCTGAAACCCACACACTGCTCCGTGAAAGAGTGAAATCCTTTAGTAGCACCAGAGCCTCCTTGCTTGCTTTATGAAAATAAGAAAATCATGTAGAAAGAAATCTCGTTGTTTAAACCATACAACAGAGTGACACATGCCAGCACCGATTTAAATGTTTGTCGGGGGACTTTGAGAGACCAGTAAACCAAACTAGCACTAGAATGGAAAAGGGCGGTTCATACTAACAGATCAAATTACGTGTGCAGGCCAAAATTAAACAAAAAATTGTTAACTTTGCGAAAAGACTAGGTGAATGTTGGCGTCTCTACCAAGTATCAATGTTTGTAATCACGCAATCTCCTTTAAGTTCTAGTGTGGAAGATTCATTTTTGGATTATGTGATTATTGTAGATCACAATCCATTGATAACTTAGACAGATGTGCAATCAATTGCCAAAAAAGAACTTTAAATAGGGGATAATGGATGGCAAAAATTCACTCATTTAAAAACTCGCGCAGAAATACGTTTAAACATAAATTTGTAAAGACCTCTTTCTTTCTATCACCAGAAATCAATTTTTACGCATTAGAACTTCACTTTGTAAC